CCCCAAAACCCCAAAACCCCAAAACCCCAAAACCCCAAAACCCCTAAGTTAAAAAATCTCCTTGAAATTATTATATAATTACTACATAAGAAATGGACGATCCACTCCCAGGAGTTGATTTTTCAGAAATCATAAACGAAGAAGATGATTCAGGATCTTTCGGGGATTCAAACATCTTGGTCTCTCCCAAAGAAGAGAGCTCACCAAAAAACTTGCTTAAATTAACAAATGACCAGGTGCATCACCGGGCTGTGTCTCAAAGAGTACCCATAATTAACGATAAAAGATTTCAAGAGGAACCTAAAGAGCAAAGAAAACCTATAAATCAAAATTGAGGGCAGCAGCCAATCCAGACAAAGCACGATCACTCGAACCATGACGGGATCAAACCAGTATTTGACTGCTTATATTGTGCACGTACTAATATTGTAGTTGAAAAATTAATTCATAAATAATTTACTCAGCAAATGTAAGGAAAATGATTTCCCCTCCCTTGAGGTCTCAATCAGATCAAAAAAGCTTGGAGATATGCTCATGAGCTCTTTTAAACAAACCATCAACCAGAATACAATTTTTAGTGCAGCTAATACTCGATCCGAAACTTTACGGAAGACAGGTTTAGGGTGAAAGTTCTACTCTCTCTCTGACTCGATTAATAAAATAAAACTTGAGAAACAAAAATAGCTTCGATGGTAACCTAAGTATCATATAAAATAGGACCAAGGATTCATGGTCTCCAGGGCGTCATGAGATCAATGCTTGATAAGAGCAAATTAGTAAACACCCAGATCTCCCCGGAACGAATTCTGAAGAAACATTTTACCTCAAATTTTACTACGATAGGTCTCTTGGATAAGATGATGAAATCTTGCTCGATAAATATCCCCAAGCAAGGGAGTGACACCAAGTTCTTTGGAACTAGAAACAACTTTGAAGAAATTGGAGAAGCACAGAATTCTGAGTCTAAAGGCTCCACTCATAAGAAATACCTAGAAGATAGGGAACAGTCAAACACTAGCCTTGAAAGAGATATTATAAATATCTCAGCTATTGTTGATCGGAAAGAATTAAACCGTAAAAAGATCCTTGAGAATATCTCCTTTGAGTCAACAGTTCATGATATTTATAATCCTGAGTGAAGCTCATGAAATTTCGAACTTGAAAAGCAGGAATCTATCTCAGAAATTAAAGACACCAAGATAATCCAAGATACCTTCTTAAAGGAATATGACTTAGGTGATGAAAGCAAGAGCAAGAGTAAGAAAAAGAGGAGGCCATCACCTATCAGAATCAGGAAGAAACTGAAACTGAAGAGAAAGCTGGGCAAAGAGAAATCTTCAAAAGACTACAGTTTCTTCTCTCGTAACCTATCCCAGAACCCTGTTGAAGAGAGACCCTCTATGAGGAAGAATAACCCTCGGACGAAGTTGATTATTGTTAATAATAAAAAGAAGAAGTCCAAACTTGTTAATAAGAGGAAAGTGCCATATAACTACCACAGCAAAAAAAATACAAAAGAAGAGACTACGAAACTGTCTCCTGAAGAAAGACCAAATATTCTGTATGACAACTACTATTTGCGTAATGAGTCTATATTTAGTACAGAACAAATGATCCTGGCTTCTTCAAAGAAGGATGTGATGACCCTTGAGCCCTCAAACTATGATATCTCAGCTATTGATACAAACAGAATCAAAACCACGTTTGTCAAAGGAGACACTTTGTTGCGAAGTGCTGCTAGTATAGTTGAAACTGGGAATCACTTGAACCCTCAAAAATAGCAGAAGAAGACTGCTTTCAAATACACCTCTCTCTGGGGCTAATCGTTCATCTTCAAATTTTCAGAGAATAATGAATTCGTATTCATCTAAAGAAAGATCTCGTGGATTGAAGAACCCTCAGCCTTGGTCTAATAGTTTGAAGATCTTGCCAAAGCAATCTGGACGATACTCTAGAATTGGAAGTAAAGATAAGTTGGCTCAGGCTTACAAAGCAATACCAAAGCAAACTATTCTTCCCAAAAAGAGAGGAGTATCTAGGCGTAGTAACTGGAGTAAGAAGAGGGGACAACCAATGAAGAAATACACCAAAAAGGAAGATCATACTATTGGTTTATTGCTAAAACAGTTAAACAGAGAACAAGCCGCCAGGCTTCCAAATGTTGGGACAAGAAAATCACATCTCTGTATTTCCTAAATACAAAGAATACATTAATGACAAAAGATTTTTGCCAGATGTATATAAAATTTTAAAATCTTGAAATAAAATACCCAGTAAAGATGCTTTCTAATAAATCTTGAGTACATAACCAATTTAACATTCCTCTAATCTCAGCTCAAAGCTCTTACCCAAACTCAACTTCTCCTAATCAAAAACTCGATATCCAAAAAAAGTCATAAACCATATGGCCCAAACTACTCAAAAAGATCCTTTAAAGCTCTTTTCTCCACCTCCCACTCCTCAAATTTTTATTTTTATCCCTTCAAACATTTCTAATTTGGTAAAAATCAAATACTTTGAGAGCCAAAAGTTGACAGTTTAGTAAGAAAATTTCCATTTGAGGGTTTAAACTAGGGGTTTTGGGGTTTTGGGGTTTTGGGGTTTTGGGG